AAGAACATTGGAATTCATGTTCATACTGACGCATGATTCTATTAACTACCACTACGAGAAATGAAATATGTTGAATGTCTAACTCAGAGGCAAGATGTTCTCGACTTCGCAGGCTGATTTTGCGGTGACTATGGGTTTGTCTGATAAAGAGTTCATGGACACATCTGAATTCAAGGACATGCCTATCTTAATACCGGAAAATGCTCATCAATTTTAGTCACAAATTAGCACGGAACGCTTTCACAATCCTACACGGAGAAGGCATCGAGGCTCCGGTATGCACCTTTGAGATACATGCATTATATTCTGGAGAACACATTATCTGGTCGTAGAGAGAGAACATAGGTAGTGTCATCGCACGATCTATGTTATCTTCGGAGTATGCAAGCATGTGTACCTGTGAATTTAGGATTTATGCTTGCGTGGTTTTTCATACATCAAGTAGAGGATAAACATCAACCAATAATATATTGGACTGCTAGTAAGGCTTTCTCTGGAAGATGAGGTGCTCTATTGTATCGAAAGACTATAGAAAAAATGTTTTCTCTAACTTACGAAGAATAAGGGGTGCAAACAAAGAAAGGTCGCGCACTTGTTGTTGGTATAGCATTCCACTGCAAAGGACCTGGAACAATATACTGAACCGGTGGCTCACTTTTTCTAAGTAATGGGGTTGAAACAATTTTGTCTTCTCCATATTACTATATCTCTAGAGTCAATTTTTCTATTTTTTTGATTCCTTGTAATTTTGTTTTCCTGTTCCTAGTGGTATCAAGCTGCCGTTAACTGATCTCTGGTCAATGCCTTCCAACAAAAATCGGGCAACATATACTAAAATGATATCAGAATAAGTCATTGCATGAAAACCTGTGCGTCATGGCTTTTCATCTCCGTCAGTTGTATCACAGTCGCATTGATGCACCGACTTAGATTAGAAACATACTCATCTGGAAACTTTAGTGACATACTCCATTCACATAACAAACGCAATTGCGAACGAGCGAAACAATAGGTCGTCTTTCTGTTTGGACCATCTTTGTCACCTGGAAACGAAAGCTCAAACCTATAACATAGATTGTACATATCCTTCCTTGAGTTGATATTGTCCTTTGTTTTTTATGGTGTATCCATAATCATATGTATGATATTATCAAACATATTTTTCTCGACATGCATGATATCTAAATTGTATCACATAAGTAGATCCTTCCAATATGGAAGATCCCAAAAATACTCTGTTTCCTCCATTTGTGTGTCTGAATATATCTATGAAATACTACAAAGGACATATAAATTAACAATCAAGGGACACCAAATACAATGAGAGACACTCACAAATAATATAAAGAACATACAAATCACTAATCGACAAAATATATACATCTAAAATCAAAATCATGACATAAATATCGTCCAACATCTTAGTACTTTAAAAATCACCCAGCAAGAAACACATCAAAAACAAAGAGCACCGCCCGCCTCACATCTTAATCATTTTACTATAAATATAAACCTATAAAAATACAAATAAAAGTACTTCCATAGATAACAAAATCACTTATAGTTTCAAACACATCAAAATAACTCTTATTTAACCCAATGGTATGATACAATGTCAAAGAAAAATGATCCATCACCAAGGCTTGTAAAAACCCAACCGAGGCAAAAATAAAATAAATCAAAGCACACCATGAACTCAAAATTTTGATCCTACAAAAACATAAACTTTAACTTCATTTTCCAAACTCCTCTTAGGAGGAAGGTATTTTTCGACATCTCAAATGGGAACGGAACTCTAGGCGGTGAGTGGAGACTTCCGGCAGTAGCAAAAGTTTCTACAAAGAGGCTCGCCGGCTATTACTTTAGCGGGGGCTTTAATGGTGAGGGGGCAGTGTGGGAGGGGAAGAATTTGGAAGAATTAACAAAGCCACGACATCGGTTGGTAGGTTTTATTAAGGTTTTATTTTTCTGGATTTAAATTTGTTTGACTGATTTTAGTATATAAATAAAAACTCAAGGCACATGACTCTAATATTTTCTTTGTATAATGGGATAATTTTAAATTATGTAATTAGATAATGTAGATTTATATGAAAGTAATGAAGTACCTACATTATTTATTATAATATATGTAATTTCAAAGGTAAAATTAGTATTAGAGAACTTAAAATGAAAATAGAAGGTAGAAAGTAGGGTGGTTTGCCAAAATGAAATGATTGAATTTTAATATTTTAAAGTTCACCATAAATTTAAATTCAAGTGATATGTTATCTTAATTTGTTCTTATTTTCTTTCTAAAATACAGAATAAGAATATATTTCAATGACAGAAATAGTATTATTTTTTTTCTAAAGTACATTGAAATGCGTATCCAAAATTTGAATACTAATATTAAATTTTAATAATTCTATTGATAACTCCAAATTATGATATGAATTCTACGGTAAATATTTTTGATTAATTATTATCTTTATATGGTAACTAATATTTTGAATAATAAATAAAGTATTTGTAATATATATATATATGAATTTATGTTTAACTTTTAAAATTTATTTTTACAGGCATTGTATAAAATAATTTTATATTTATCTATGTATCTGTATTTTTAAAGTAATTTGTTATATATTATTATCCATTTTACTTTTATTATAAAAATTAAATTATTTTTAACAATCAATGAATGTCTTTGTTTGGGGTTGTGTTGCGGTTTTGAATTTGGATCTTTTAAATAATACAACTTTAAATTGTAATAGTTAGTTGGCATTGCTTCAGTACGTCAAAGGCAGTCTCCTTCATGGTCTCCATTATTCAGGTTGCTCGTCTTTGGTTTTAACTGGGTACTCTGATGCTAATTGAGCGAGAGACCCCACCGATTGTTGCTCGACTACTGATTTTTGTTTCTTTTTCGGTGATTCACTTATTTCTTGGCATAGCAAGAAACACATGGTCGTCTTCCAGTGCAGTGCGGAGTCCGAGTATCGATCTCTTGCCGATACTACTACCGAGCTTCTATGGCTTTGATGGCTACTGGCTGATCTCTGACTACCACTATTCATTGTGACAGTCAGAGTGCCATAAAGATTTCGACGAATGATGTTTTTCACGAGCGTACGAAACACATTGAGATCGACTGTCACCTTGTCCGTCATTACGTTGCTAACAGCAATGTCTCCTTGTCCTCCACTTCTTCTGCTAATCAGACTGCTGATGGCTTCACCAAGCCTCATTTACCCTCGTTCTTGAGTAAACTCAAGTTGGTTTCCACACTCCCACCTTGAGTTTGAGGGGATGTTGATATATATTGTAATATATATATATGGTAATATATCAATATGTATATATATGACGATATAACCCTAATTTTAGTTGAGAAATGATATTATTCCGTTAATTCCAACAATATTTATAGTCTAGCCCAAAGGCTATTTTATATATATATAACACTCGGTTCTAATTGAGAAATTTAGCCATTTTTGCATTCTATCAAAAAAATGAGAAAAGAAGATTAACCACTAAACTTGTTCAAGGCAAAAGTGAAACTAGTAAGTTGAAGAAGGCCTTGTGCGAAGGACACCATTCTTGTTGTTGGTACGTACAGATTAATTGGAGCAATCACAGTGAACACATTTTAGACGCCTTTTGTATAGTGCCGACGGCCTCCCTATTTTCCTTCCCAATGACCATAATCTCGACAATACAAAATCAATTTTCACTCGCAGCCGCCTGGTGCAGGCTACGCCCGTCTAGGGTCCTTTTCTCTCACCCAATTTATTCTTTCTCTCTCCCTCTCACTTCTCTCCATCTCACTTCCATGAGAGCACGCCCGTCTAAATTGTCTTTGGCCACGTTGGAGGAGGAGGAGCGTAGAGGTATTTAATTAAGGTGGTCACTGTGTGTGCTTTTAGTAGTTGTTTTTGTTTATGGTGCGTAAAATCTATATATTCTCAAATTTCTCTTAATCATTAAAAATATTTCTAACAAAATATTAAATAAATTATTTATTTTTTATTTTTTATATTATACTTAAAAATTATGATATGATACAACAATTTCAATTAAAAAATTTTATTATTTAAATCCCAACAAATAATCCAATCCCCAAACAAATATGGTGTACCAATCATCTTTTGTTTTTTTTTTTATTTATTAATTTATTTTCGTGGACAACATAGTTTTGATTTGTTTATTTGACAAACACATAGAGATTAGTTTACGTACACTCCTAGGGTGTACTTTTTATTATGTTGCATATATTGAGCCTGTTTGATGTGCGTTACATTGGAGTATGCAAAATTACAAATTTTTAAATTGCCTACCGATAGTGAATTTATATAAAAAAAAAAATTCAAATTTAGTAATTTGATAATTTTTGTGGTATTGGGGTAATCCAAATTCAGTGTTATTTAAACTAAATAAAAAGAATAGTTATATTTTTTTAATTCATAATCATCCAAGTTTGGATTCAATTAATTAACTAATTATTTTTTCAATATTATATATACTTATATTTGAATTATATATTATTGGTTTTATATACAGATAATATTTTATTTAGATATACTACTTCAAATACATATATTTACTTATAAGTTGCAATTTATTTATATTTAATTATATTTCTATAATATTTTACATAAGCTAATAATTTTAAAATTATATGATTAACTTTGGTAAAAAAGAATATCCACTGCATTCAATATAGTTGTATTCAAAGTTGAATTCGGTCAATTCAATGAAAAGTTCATCTCGATAAATAAGAAAATATAAATTTGAAATTGAAATTGAATTTAAACATAACTTAATTATACATGTAAATATATATATATATATATATAATTCCCAGTATGGCAATAGGAACACTGCAGATTTATTAGTCTAATAGTCTCAGCTGGCAAAACTCATATTTCATCAGGAATTAGAATCAATCAGTCTAACATTCCCCAAGAACATCAAGAATTTTCAGAAACAGTTGATCAAGAAGACGGGCGATTTCGCATATGGCTGTGAGTTCTCCCTCTCTTCTTCTCAGCCTCATCATTGTTCAATGAATTTTGTTTTATATCTGTTCGGTTTGTGTATGGTAATTCAGTGCAATCATGATCTCTTGATTTACATTTCTATGGAAATAGTGTGGAGCTGAAGAAATGAATGTTTCTCGGTTTAACTTTTCTGTTGTATATATCAAGTTCATCTCTGAGATAAATTAAACACTTGTTTAACTTTGTCCTACATCTGTTCTTGATCATGGAAGTTACCCTTCTTGGCCAGATTTTATTGAATACCGTCAATCTAACTTGCCTTGTTCCATTTGATTTCTATTTCCAATAATCTAATCTAAAATGTTTGTGAGTTCCCATTCAATTGTAGGTAGAACCATTTTTGACAAATGAAATCGAATGATCCATCTGATCTAAGAAACGTGAATTTGGTATTATTATTAGGAAACAAGTTTTAAACTTCTCTTTCGCTAGGCATACTAAACTGTACTGGTTAGTCATCGACATACATACAATTATATTTGCTGATTAATTTACATTGATTAATTGTAGCTGCCTCCTGGGCGCCCTCGATTTTCTGATGATAAACCTCCACCTACTGCCGATATTATTCGGATTCCTGAACATCTCGAAGACATACCAATAGCTACAACTAAGATCTATGAACGGCGTCAGTCCCGTTCGGAGATTGATGTTCTGATTCAGCTGGAAGGACCTAACTTGGAACACTATCCGCCGTGGTATCAGCGTGCTCCTTTGGACCTTGTTATGGTGGTAGATATCAACAATTATTATTTCGATACAGACGACTTTAATCTTGTGCAAAGGGCAATTATGTTTGTTGTACGTAACATAGGCCCGAGGGACCGGCTTTCTATAGTTTCGTGCACTGATCCTGCTACCAGATTAACGCGCCTGCGCCCAATGGACTTTCCCGGACAAGTGGATGCCCAACATGCTGTTGGCTTTTTTCTCCAGGATGGAGATCCAACGAGCAGCTTTGTGGACGGCGTAAAGATTGCTACTGAAATTCTCGAGGATAGGCTGTACAAGAATCCTGTTGCAAGCATTATTGTCTTGTCGAACGTGATTAGCAATGGCGGGAGTGTCGGGCAGCCTAGAACAATGCCCGTGACTGAAAACTATCCCTTTCCAGTTCATATCTTCGGCGTTGGTCAACGGCGCAATGATCCAGTTGCACTTTACCGTGTATCTTTAGCATCGAGAGGCACTTATTCATATGTACAATCATTTGAGCTATTGGAGCAAGCCGTTGCTGTCTGCTTGGGAGGGCTCCTCAGTGTTGTTGCTCAGTGTAGGAACACGCCGGTGAGGGCTGTTCATTCCCACGGATCGTTGTTGGATGCCAACGCGTACATACATGGTATAAAACGATCCTAAGCATGCTCCTATAAGAATGAACTAGAGATGTACCCTTTTTGGAACCACCAACAGCAATCACGAACAGGTTGATTCCGCTAGAGACCTTCCAGACTGTTCCCGAACCCCGCTCGAACACCGGATGGGCGGCGATCTATCAAACGGAGGGAGACGAATTTTGCTCTTCGTGAAACCCTAGAGCTGACGGCTTGCACCTGTGGTTTTCGCCTCCTTTTGAAAAACCGTCCCTAGGGTTTGACAAAGACCGCATATTAATAAGTCTCCCAACAGGTAATTGGGCCAGACCGGGGATCTTTAGAAGGTGTTGGGCTCGGGCTCCCTTATAGATCCAAATCTCTATATTCAGCCCTGAATATAATTCGAATCATAAAATATTAATTCATTCCATTAAAGAATTAATATTGCACTCCCAGCCCAACCCAAATTGAATCTGGGCTTCATCAACCTGGATGTCCAGGACATGGTGCCTTAATGATAATAAATTAATTACTATGCGAATAATGTAGTTGCCCAAAATACGAAGCATATTGAATCACTAAGGATTCTCACTTATGGTAAATTAAAGCAACGAACATTTATTCCATATATTTAATTTATTTCATCTAAGGTTAAGAATTAACAGAGTTACCGAGATCTTGGTTCTTCAATGTCAGAATAGAAGAACATATCTCAACTGTGATCCTTTCAATGTGACGCAGCACATTAGTGTAAACTAATAGTCAAGACAAACTAATTCCAAGTTTACACTACAACTTAAACCGATGGTTTTGTCCATAACCATCTCAGTTGTGAAACCCATTTATATTTAATAAAGAACTGACAACAAGATCTTCTGTGTGATCTCCACACACCATGTTGTCTACAATATTAAATAAGTGGACATGCTAATATATATAAAACATAAATAAAAGCAACACAATGTGAAATAACAATTTATTTATTCCAGTTAATAAGGAAATTGAATGATACAAAAGCGTACTAAAAGTTTGCTTTACAGTATAATCCAACACTCAGGACATCCTTCTAAGGGTTGCGACAATTCCTAGCTTGCCGATCGCAAAGATCCTATCTGCCAAATTCGAAAACCGGATTTACCCTAACCACGGGGAAGTCAATATCAGCAACCTCTATGCTGGTGAGAAAAAGATTTTCCTGGTCACATTTGGATGCATCCCTGAGCCTGTGGAGGAAAATGAGAATATTGAAATACGCATAACAACAGACGGCGAGTATAAAGAAGCAGCGTCACAAACAAGACTAGTCATGTTTTCAATGATTCGGATGAATGCAAATTTGATTAGGGAACTGGTTGATGTGCTGCAGATTTTCCTTCAAATTCCTGACGACGTTGAAAGGGATTTAGCTATGGTAGCGAGGGTTGACCCCATATTCGATGGCAGACGATTGCAGATGACAACTAGTAGGAATATTTCTAGATTAGGCTGCCTACCGGTAAGTGCTGTGAGGAACTGGCTATTGGAAGAGACTGAGACTTTGGTCCACACAATGCAACAGACGGAGCTCTATCAAAATGGTGGACTCGCTTTAGTGCTGTCGAACAAGAGTAGCCTCGAATCTCAGAGGGTCACAACTAGAGGCATCCGACTGCCTTGTGGTAATCCATTTAATCTCTTTATGACTTCCTCCATGGAAGTTATGCTGGCAAGGTGTTCCAACAATAGAATTTAATTAGTAAAACACTTTAGGCACTACTGCTTCTTCACATTTCACATTTACAAAGGTGTCTGAAAAATGCACCAGATAGGCATGATGCTCGAATATGAGACTTTCTTTGTCTTCAATTTCTTCACTGGACACCAAGTTTCTCTAACAGGGACAATCTTTTTGAATCGACTTCTTCATTCAAGAACAATATTAGATTGGCAACAACTTGGTATTTTCATCCATATTTTCAGTGGTGCTTGAATGTTTGTGAAATGAAAATAACCATATGCTTGTATCCATATCATAAAGGTCTCTCAAAGAAAAAACAAATTACTAAAATGCAGTGCAAACCCATCTAGTTGGAATGATCACCCTGGTTATTCTTATATTTGAACTACCAGAACAGAAGAGAGTTTCATTTCGTTATATACATATTCAAGTTTGGTATATGCTTCTGCTAGATGTTGTTTGTGCTAGAAATAAATTTAGGTCTATCCATTTCTAGCTATCTCTACATGTAGTCAGTCAAGTGTGGATTTACAGACCAAATGTAAATCAATCCTCTCGCCGTTCCAATTCTTCTATTACCTTCAATTGAAAGTTCACTGCCTTGCTTTAAGCCCACAATTTCATCAATAAGAAATGTAATGTACTCCTAAAAACAAAAAAAACAAAAAGCCTACGATTTCCAAATAGAACCAGAAGAGTATAAAAAGGCTATCAATCAAAAATTTTGTATTTATGTCCCTAATTTTGCACAGATTCATACCTCAAAAATGAACAAGCATCACTGGACTGGACTGGAGTGTACACACAAACCAGCCTGAGCTGAGCAGAACCCAGAAGCTCTTCGGGTTAAAAAAATTGGGTTGATGCCACAATAAAGCTCAAGTCGAATTTGAAGAATATCAACATAAGCCAAAAAGCTATGAGATGCAACAGATGCTAGGGATCCGCTGGGACGGATAGCCTCGCCATATGGCGTCGCCTAGGCGTCCTAACATCGCCAAGCGGCAAGGCGATCTTTCCTGGCGAACGCTCGGCGCCACGGCTTCTCGTCAAACGGCGAAGCTTTGGCGACGTCGGGACGCCAAGGCGACGCCATACGGCAACCGGGTCACTCCAAACCCGTTTCAAGGGTGGATTTAATAAGGAGTGCATTTAATCGTTGAGTGATGGGATAATATTATTTGTAAGTTTTGTTTTTTTTTTTAATATTTCATACTTTTTATTTTCATATATATTTTAATCTCTAATACTCATTTTACCCTTCAAATTGTCATATAATATAATGAAAACGGCACGTACTTCCATTATTTTTATATGAATTTACATTATATATTTACGTACTTTAAAATTATTTCGTTGTATCAAAAAATGTGAAACTTATGTACCTAAAATTTTTATTTATGTACTAAAGTCAACTACATAAATTCAAACTCAAAATTAAAATAAAACCCTTATAGAACACACCATCCGAGTCGTTGATGTTATATCTCTTCCAAATCCTTCTTCTCGCACGTTTTCCCTCGTTGTCGAAGCTCCCACCGAAGTAATCGCCGCCGAGCCTTCCCGAAGGAACTTTATCCGCCGTCGGAAATCTCTATTCACTGTCTAAAGCTCTGTTTCCGCTCGAGATGTCGAAAAGAATTTCATCTCCAACACGAAATTCGAAAAAGTAAGTTAAAATTTATATTTTTGGTAGGATTGAAATTTTGAATTCATGTTGTCCTTGGATCTATTTTATTTGTGCGTCAGTTGGGTTTATAGAAGCCTCGGTGGCGGGTTATTTTATTTTGACATCATATCGCACCATCGGATCGAATATGAGTTATTTTGTGTGGTCGAAATTATAAATGGTCTTGTTGTCTATAAAAGTACCTTCATTTGTACTTTTATAAGTTTACATTTCTAGTACAATGATTGAGATGTAAAGCTTATGGTGCTTCTTGTTTTCTTTGAATATCGTAGACAACTTGTTCTTGTCGGGTGATTTTATAAATACTAATGTGTTGGACGATGTTTATGTTATGGGATTGGTTATAGATGTATCTATTTTGTCGATTAGTAAAAAATTTATTTGTTCTTTATATTGTTTGCAAGTGTCCCACATTGCTTTTGGTGTGCCTTGATTATTAATTTATATGTCTCGAATAGAAAATTATTTACCTTTGTAGTTATGTCATAAACATGTGTTTATGTTGAGTATACTCATGAAGATATGTCCTTATTTTGAAATGATGACAGACCTGAAAAGAATACAAATGACATCTCCAAATTTTCTATACCTTTCTTCTATACAAAGATGGCTAAACATAAAGTTGAGATAAACGACAAACAGTTGAAAGCTCTGCAACTCCCACCGTTTAAGTATTTCATAGAGTGTCCGAAAATGAAGCTACCCTGGCATCGATTGTTGGCGATTATGAATATATTTGACATCGAGTTCCAATCATTTAAAATTGACAATGAAATTGAAATAAATTTTTTTGCCAAAGAATTCTCTGTAGTTCTTGGATTACACTCAAAAGACGTGTAGGTGCCAGTAAAGCTTTCGGCATCGTAACCCACAATCGTATCAAATCTAGACTATTTTGATAAGTTTTAAATTGTAAACAACCTTATTGTATATAAAAGTATCTTTATTTTTATCTTATTATATTTAATTTTGTAGGAAAATGGGTGCGATGTGAGGTGGATGGGGTTCGTTTTTTTTTTCAAATATTGTTGTCGATTTGGGGTAGTTAGTCATTGATATTATGTTTTGCCAAAAATTTTAAGGATCATCATAAATTTTAATTTAACATATGATATATGTGGTTCCCAATAAGTAAGAATTTTGGTATTAGAGATACGTACACAAATAATTAAGAAATATTTTTTAGTGCGCAAAATTTTATGGTTGGGTGTAGAGAAACTCCTAAATTTGAACAACATACCACCAATGAAGATATATGTTACACATTTAACTAACTTATATACTTTTGACACGATTGTATGTACTTCTATCAAGGAATAAACTTTGTAAGTAACTATATATATATTCGATATGTAGTGAAAAGATGTGTACTCACTATATTGTCTTGAAAGTATCAATTAACACATTCAATGTACATCTAAATGAAAAATGCTTAATTATAGTATGGATAGTCCTAATATGTCTTGTGTATAATATTTACTTCTCATACCTTCTAATACATTTGTTCTTTGTGGATGTTTTTCATAGTCTACAAAATGTTGATATGGGTTAATATGGACAAAGCTAATAAAGAGTGTGGAGACCGAGACATCTTATAAGTTATCTACTAACTCATCGATATCTCTTACCATGATCCACAACATCATATGTTAGGTCAAATCTATCTTATGTAACATTCTCATCCACCCTTAAATACATGCACAAATGATCTCAATGATTATTTCAATAATATTAGTTGATAGACACCAATATCCGATAAAATTGCAATGATCTATTTAAACTATAGCCGTCTAAGCTAGCCACAATCATGGTTGGGTGTCGAGAGACCCTTAAATGGAAGCCATATACCCCAGTGATGATATTTGTTCATTTATTTCACAAGTGACATACTTCTAAATTGATTAAATATACTCGTATTGAGGAATAGCTTTACAAATAATATTATACATATTCCATGTATATTGAGAATATGTGTGCTCACCAAATGTTCTGAAAATACTAATGAATACATTTTATGTACACATCAATGACTAATACGTTACTCAATAGAATTGGAGGGTCCAATATGTCTAATGCGTAACATTTACTTACTATACCTTTTAATATATTTCTTCTTGTTGAGAGTTTCTTCATACTTTCACAAATGCTTGCACGGACAATCACAATACAAAGGACATCGTGCGTCGTTAGTTATGCACTAACTTCAAAATATCTATTACTATGGTTCACCACATGATATATTATATCATATCTATGTTAAGGGACATTCTCGTCCACCTTAGAATATATTAATACATAAACTCATAAGTTATTTTAGAAATATCCGTTAATGCACGATAACTTTCAAGAACATGGGTGCTATGCAATCTATTAGTAATTGTTTGATCAAATTACAATCAAATTCTGAATAGATAATTAAATACTCATGTTTACAATATTTATACCTGTATATGAATAATAAATACTTCTCTACACAAACATGTACCCTCATATTTGGATATGTATACCTTTGGTATTAATGAATATACTCTCTGAACATTATAACATACTCATATTATCATTGTAATAACTCCGTTGCAAAAACTAAATACTCGCATAAATAAATTTGTTTTACAAGGGAATCCAAATCATTCAATAGTGGTCTCATACACATATTTATGTTCAATGTACAATATTCCAGAAATAAAAGAAATTCTAGCCACGAGATGACAAACCAAAAATACCTATGATGGAGCCTTCTTGCAACTTTGTCAGTGGTGTCATAGATGGACCACAACGATCATATTTTTTAGACAGTTCACATGATGTAATTCAACCCACCGTTTTTTAGTCCGCTGGTTAGACAAAAGTCAATGACCTTGCTGAGTGTATCGAATTTTTCCCCGACTCAGCTACATTGTTATTTATTATCCTCTAACGAGTTCCTTGGAATAGAGAATCCGCCCAACACTAGGTCATCGATTGTGCAATAAAGTTTTGGGCAAATGACTTAGTCTTCACAACAAGCATTATATCCTACTCAAATTCCGTCAGGGTGCCTAACCAACTTTGCTAAAACGGACGTTTATCATTTCTTGTTATACATGGGATATCTTTGCATTACCTACACGAAATGTAATTAATTACCTTATTGTAAATATTATAATTACTAACATATATTCTATACGTATCAGAATGCGAAAGTTGTCCATTAAATGTCAAAGAAAATATGCTTGGTGGGCTCTGAGAAATATGACGGAGATAGACTTTAAAAATCCCCAATGTCTATAAAAAAAATGTATATTTCCAATTATATTGACCATCAACGTGAAAAATATAGTTTAACCTCCAACAAAATCATTTCTAAATTTTTATCATTTTCGACAGACACGGTTGGAAAGCAATAAAATTTTAATATTATCAAATATATAAGCACATGAAATAAATACCATATTCATAGATCATTAGTTATAGTATATATATCAACAAAATCAGGATATTTTCAAACAAATGCAGCGTACAATATCGGACGATATGGGTAATATGATTAATAAATATAAGGTATACTGCACTAGAAAAATGTTTTCCGTGAAAATACCTACGCAAACCTGAAATTGAAAAAATCCCCACAAAATTTTTTCATATACATACCATTCTGTCAAAATGTCTTACTGTTAGAAAACCTTACCATTTTGTCATACTTTAAAAAAAAAAAAATCTCCAAGAATCAAACAAAAATATCGATCGATGATAAAAATTATTTTCAAGAATACAATTACTTCTAATATCAAAAAATGGTGAAGATGATCCATCATACCTGATTTATCGTCGTCATCTTCAACTGAACATGGGCGGAATCGGATTTGGCAAAGAATGACCCTCTTCTGTGAACCCTAACAACACTACTGTAATCAACGTGTAAAACTATCGCAGCAAAAGAACATTGCAGTCTAGAATTAAACCTTCGTCGCCTTATCCATTTCTCTCTTGCACCTGGGATTTGGGTTCAGATCGTCTTCTCATTACTCTCGCGCGAAAAAATCGAGTACACAAAAAATTGCAGACAAAATTGATTCCAATTTCAAATAAGGGCAATATGGGAAAGAAGTGAAGGGTAGAGAGTTAATAGCAAAATTTTTTTAAAAAAATAGTGAGTGTAGTGTTCATAAAATATGATTGGAGACTGAATTTTAAAGTTGAAAATAAAGATGGGTATTTAATTATATATATTAATAAAAACTAAAAAAGAACACGTAATTTTACAGGCTTACAGTACAGCCACCTCCTTTTCTTCTACATCCAACAAGATCATCTTTCTTTTATTTTATCTTTATGTTTTTTTTTCTTCATATTTTATTCTTCCATTTCCCACTTTCCCTGCTTCCATTCTTCACTCTCTATATTTGCCTTTATCTTCTTCCATTTCTTTTCTTCCTCGTTCTTTTCCATCTTTTATCTT